AAAATCAGGGGGAAAACGTAGCGGGAGAAATACGACACCGAGCGCGGCCGAACATACGAGCCGAGACCGCAATACAAGCACTTTTACTGTATCATTTCTAACTAAAATAACGTTCATGTATCACAAAAAGTCCTTAACCTAACAGTTTTCAAGTTTATACTGACATTTATATGCGCAATCCTCTCTGACAGCTCCCGCTTCACTGTCCGCCATTGTTTTTAAAAGTTCTACCATCTGGCCCGCAAGGCATCTTAGGAAATGTAAACCATTGAAGGATACACCAGACCCATCCTTCGTACAGGCGGAAAGAAGGCCGAATTCGTCGACTGCATTTGAAGGAGTCTTCGAATTGGGACAGGCCTGGTCGCGGCGCTGTGACGTAACCGGCCGACGAATCCGGCCGATGAAGGATGCAGACCCTGAATTGAGACACAGCCTGTGTGTGTGTGTATTTGTTAGTGGCTCCGCCCTCTCAGTCTGCTAGGCAACAACATTTGTTGCATTTTTCAAACAGGAAGTGGGTGTGAAGTAATGCTCTGGTAGGGGGTGACTTGCTCTTTAAGCTCAAAGTGACCGATCATTGTCAGAAATGATGAGTAAAAAATGGTTTCTCAATGAAGGACCTCTTTAAAGTTTAAGTGAAACTTCTTTCTAGAAAATAAAACTCAATAGTTCAAAATCAACCCGTTCTACCTCCTGAGCTACTGCTGCCCCAACAATAACCACTAATGTTAAAATGCCTGTATTTTTTATTTTAGGTGAAACCCCCAGGAAAACTAAAATAATGGGGAAGTAACAGGTGAGCTTTTACTGGGATGTGGTTTCTACTCCTGCAGCAGCAAAACTCACAGAATTTCTTACAATCCTTTCACAATAAGAGCCTCAAATGTCCTCGAAACACCTGAAGTTTGCGGAAAGGTTTGTGGTTAATAATAAAACATACAGCAGGTTGTGTTCAGCTCCATGTCTAAATGTTGGTGGCGCTTTTCTAACACGCAGTGGTAAACGTGTTCTTGCCAGTTAAAGCTTTAACCCAAGGATTTGAGGCATCTACGATTTTTCGTGCAAGCGTTTCTTTTGAAACCTGTTGTGGCCTAACCGTGTGTGATCAGAGGAGCATGTCTGAGTGAAATCGTGATGTCATGGCTTGATCTTGGATTGGGGAGCTTTGAAGGGCGTTGCACATCCCTTCGACCCCTCTTGGCTGTTAGCTTGTTTGTCAAATTTGTGCACCAGCTTGAATCAGCGGCAATCAGGCGGACATGATGCAAACTGATCCACCAGAGCATCTGCTGGCACAGTGGGCAGCAATATGTGATAAACGCTGATTTCACCCTCCACTGGATTGAGCTGGCGGTGATGCCCCCCCCACACACACACACACCCTCAATGCGTCCATCCTATTAAACCCTCATTATTCATTTACCTCCAGCCCCAGCCTCCTGACATGCATGGGATGAGCGGACGCGTGGCGCACATCCACGCTCCACCAAAAAAGTGAATTGCTCTCATATTTCTTCCCTGGTTCTGATCTAAGGCGGTCAAGGACACACACCGCTATCTCACCCGGGCAGGATTGGGACTGTTTCTTTTTCATTTGGAACAAAATTCTCACATTTTGTAATAAATACACAGTTTCTGGGTATAGCGCCGCTGTGCACAAGGAGCTTAATTCTATCAGGCTGTGAGCTGGACAGCCGTAATTACATTTGTGACACAAATCCTGTCTCTCAAATTGAGCGTTTTATTCCTGAGCGCTCCCGTCTCTCTATTTATAACCCCTTATTCCCCATAAATCCCACTTCCTCTCAGAAAGTCAATTTGGGACTTAAAAGGCAGCAACGCTTGGCTTAGTTTTCCTCCTCCTTTGACTTGTCGTCGCTTCAGTTTCACTTCTTCTTCTTTTTTTTTTCCTTTGGCTAGAAGGTTTGAAGCCTCTAAAATGACAAAAAAAGTATGTCTTTAGAAGTGAGTGCCACGATGCGAGAAAGTCATTCCTATAGAGGAGTCTGAGTGAAAACGCTGCTCCTTCACAGCTCAGATGAATTAGTAGCTTCTGCATTGAAGGGTTTCTTCTTAACCCTTCGTTCCCACCTGTCCTTCAACTTCTCCCAGAGTCTGACTGTCAGAAGCATTTTCTTCATGACTTTTACTTTCTTTCTCCTTTATCTCTTTTTCCGCCCAGTGTCTGTTTCCTGGCAGCTCCTCCTCCTCCTCACTTGCTGAATCAGCTGTGGCCTTTACAGGCTCCTCCATCACTCTCTTCATGTTCCTGTTTCTCCTGTAGAACTGTTTCCAAATTTCTGCCAAGTTAATATTGTTTACATTTTATCGCTGTGAATGTCCAGTTTTTTAACTACATGTTGTAGAAAGTTAAAATCATTGTGTGCAAAAGTTTCAAAACCAGCTCTAATTGTTTGTTTTGCTAAAGAAGAGACAACATCTCGTGAACTCAGAAAAAGTGATCTTGATCAGTTGCTCTAGTCTTTTTCCAATTTTTCCAAATTCTTTGAATTTGGGTTGAATAAACACAAATTTTGAACGGCACCATACTCTCACAAACATTCAGAAATGTCAGCCCTAGAAAAATCAATAGCTTTTGTTTCAAATGAGTGGACTCACCAGTTTACACACAGTAGTATATGATGGGGCTGCAGGGGTTTCCCCCAGCGCTTTGCTTGGCCACCCGCCATGCTAAGCGTCATGCCCCGCCACCCTCCCCGATCCTACCATGTCCGCTGACATGAACGGCGCAACGAAACTAGAGCCCTCCATCAGCTGATACTGGTGAGAAACAGCAGCAAAACCGAGCGGAAAGTGTGCAACCCCCCCCCCTCCCCCCCCCCCCCCCCCCACTACCTCTCTCACGGAGGAGCGCTGCAGATCTTGCTGGAAGTAGCCATCAGAAGTGGGTCCATTGTGTTCATGAAGGGATGGATGTGGTCAGCAACAATACTAGGTTGTGGCATAGCACCTATGATCTGTTAATATTACTAAGAGGCCCAAAGTGTGCCAAGAAAACATCTCCCACACCGTTACACCACCACCAGCCTGAACCTTTGATGCAAGGCAGGATGGATCCATACTTTCATCTTACCAAATTCTGACCCAACCATCTGAATGTCGCAGCAGAAATCGAAACACATCAAACCAGGCTACGTTTTTCCAATCTTTTATTGTCCAATTTTTGTGAGCCTGTGCGAATTGTAGCCTCGGTTTCCTGTTCTTCGCTGACAGGAGTGGCACCCGGTGTGGTCTTCAGCTGCTGTAGTCCATCTGCCTCAAGGTTTGACGTCTTGTGTGTTCAGAGATGCTCTTCTGCATACCTTGGTTGTAACCAGTGGTCATTTGAGTTACGTTCTATCAGCTCGAACCATTCTGGCCATTCTAATCTGACCTCGCACCAACAAGACATTTTTGCCCGCAGAACTGCTGCTCGCTGGATGTTTTCCCTGTTTCGGACCATTCTCTGTAAACCCTAGAGATGGTTGTGCGTGACGATCACAGCAGATCAGCAGTTTCTGTAAAACTCAGACCAGCCCATCTGGCACCAAAATGGTAAATGGCCTGTATTTGATATAGCGCCTTCTAGAGTCCTGGAATCCCCTCAAGGCGCTTTACAACAAAATAAGTCATTCACCCATTCACACACACATTCACACACTGGTGGGGATGAGCTACGATGCAGCCACAGCTGCCCTGGGGTGCACTGACAGAGGCGAGGCTGCCGAGCACTGGCGCCACCGGTCTCTCCGACCACCACCAGCAGGCAAGGGGGTTGAAGGACACAGCGACAGACTGAGCGGGGCTCGAACCTGCAACCTTTTGATTACGGGGCGAGCACTTAACTCCTGTGCCACTGTCACAAACAACCATGTCACATTCAAAGTCACTTAAATCTCCTTTCTTCCCCGTTCTGAAGCTCAGTTTGAACTGCAGTGGATCGACTTGATCATGTCAACATGTCTAAATGCATAAAGTTGCCACCATGTGATTGGCTGATTAGTAATTTGCGTTAACGAGTTGGACAGGTGTACAGCGCTTTGTGATTTATATCTGTGAAAGGCGCTATATAAATAAACTTTTACTTACTTACTTATCTCTTCTCCTTATTCAGGTGTTCTCAGGGCAACATTATAACTAAAAGCTTCTCCTGATTTTAGGCCTTTAACCCCCAGAGACCCACAGTTGTAATATTACAACATCAGATTTAAGTCTACAAAAATAAACCTTCCCCATTTTTTCTTCTTTTTAAAACCACATTTACATTGCTAATAGGTCCTATTGTTCAGTTCTGCAACACTATTGGCTGTTAAAATGTGTAAATAGGCCCGTTTATCTGGCCTCCTAGAACAACATGTGGAAGGTTAAAAAAAGATTTTGCAGTTGTTTTCTAAATTTGGGTTTCTGGGGGTTAAAGGACGAGTGGAACCTGAACGTGATTCTTTCCAGAGATAATTTTGCTGAGTTAATGCAGTGGACAATTCCATTCCACACACACAAACAGCATGAATTATTCAAATAAAAGCCCTCTGTTGCTCCTCTGAAACTAGTTTGATTCTCATGTAATCTAAACCTACATTAAATTAAGTTTGCATCATTAGTTTGCAGAGTTTAATGCAGATGCCCTTTAATTAAATAAGGAAATAGAACTCTAGGAGATGTGTACAAATGCAATGTTTTGTAAGCAATTGGCTGGATTTTGGTGAAAGCTTCTGATCTCAATAAGATTATTCTCTCGTTTTAGCAGCGGCTGGATATCAAGTCTCAGCCAGGCTTTATTCTCCCTCCTTTTAGTTTTTCTCCATTTTATTGGCAGGGATTGCGTAGCAACAAAAGTTTTGGGAGTTGGAGTCCTTCAAGCGCCTTAAAACCTTGTTGGAAATTTGTTCAGGTCTATCCAAATTTCCATTTGGAGGTGGCTTATATTTAATTTTAACTTCCCATTTGGACCATCTGTTCCCAAGCCCATCTACAAGTCCTGTTTTTGTGTCTCATAGGTCGCTCGTCTGGAGGAGCTCTGGGTCCAACTCTTGGCCTTGTCAAGTCCAGCTCCTTGGAGAGCCTCCAGACCGCGATGTCCGAAGCCAACCATAACCGCGTCCAAGCTCAGGTTCCCATCCATCGGCCACGTCCGCATATGGTCCGAGGACGAGGATGCAACCAGAGTTTCCGCATCGCCATTGACAAATCCTACGAAGGGCCTTCTGAAGATGGTAAGGCGACTCATCCGGATCTTAAAGCCAGCAATAAAACATATCTACTGGAGTGGAAGTGGCTGTTTTTTAAAGCTGCTGCTACAATAATCTAAAATTCTTTTCTTGGCGTTATATCCATTTTAAATTAGAGACCACATTGCTGATGCTCAACCCTGAGGCTGTATAGCACACTGGCACTCAAAAAGAGCCAGAGGCCTGCCAAGAAAGGAGACGGTGCTCAGCCTAAGTACTTTAATGAAATGCTACATGATTTCATCCACTCAGCAATTTAGAAAGAACAACTTTGTCTTAGAGCAGCATTTTTTATAATGCACCACCACCTGACCACACGTGCACGTGGGCTTAATGTGAAATTAAAAAAAGAAAGCTTTTTATTTGAGGTGCATGATGTACTGGTTGTGCTTTAAGTGGAAAAAGTACCTTTTCCATCACACCTTTGACCTGTTTACCCCCCCCCCCCCCCCCACCCCCACCCCCGTCTCAGATGACGACTTGTCCGAGTACAGCTCCGGCAACGAAACACCAGCCAGCACCTCCTCTCGTCAGGACCTGGACGAAGATGATGGGAAGAAAAAGAAGAAGACCAAGGGGAAGAAGAAGGAGAAGAAGATAAAGGGGAAGAAAAAAACTGAGGATTCAGGGGATGATCTGGAGAAGAAAACCAAGAAGAAAGGATTTGGTCTCTTAAGGTAGGAACTCAAATTTATGTTTGGAAGCTACAAACCATCAAACCACCTTTAGATAGGAAATCATTTTTTTTTTAAATCTGTACACACAATTTCGATTATTATCTAGCTGTAAAGTAAAACACACATCTCTCTTGTGTATGTAGAAGCTACTGGAACATAACCTGCGATACTTTCTCCTTGGTTAACTTTCAACAAATCACCTGACTGAGCACAGCAGGATTATGGGATACAGGGTGATTGGATATGAACACAACCTTCTCGGTAATGGAGAGTATTCATTATTTCTCAAGTAAAGTCCCACAGACACAGTACCGGCCCAAAATGCTTGTCACCCCTTTATCAAGCTGTCCCCATTGTGATTTGTGGTGGTCCAATCCTGCTGCAGCAATCCTTATCTATTGGCAGTGACATGGCGTGGTCAGTGTATCACCACACTTCCAACACTTGGGATTCAATTAGGCTGTGATGGGAGATAGCACGGACCGAGCCTGGGACTACAGATGGCTGATAAGAATCCAATCGGCCACTGTGTCAAGGGCGGTAATGGAAGAGATGTTCGCCCGGTGAGGCTGAGAGGGGAGAGTAGGGCAGGAGCACAGAGGGCGACATGAAGGACACGGGAAGAGCTCGATGGCAGATGAGTGTGAAGCTACAACTACTTGATTCTTCTTATTTAACACAACGACCTTCTGTTGGTCGTCAGCAAAAACGGGAACCTCCTGGATATGTGACAGGTGCTGCTACTCATCAAGTTTGTATCTGCAGACTTTGTTATTGGGGTTTTGCTTCTCTTGGTCATTGTTCTGACTCTTAACTTGTTGATCTTAGACCTCCAAGGGAAGTTTGATCAGTTGGCGGTAGTGTGACAATGAGTTAGAACACTGTCCTTAACAACTTTGGTACAAATAAAAATCCAGCTATGAGCAATTTGACCCTTCTGCCACATCTGTTTATATAAGAGTACTTCCTGTGAACTTTTCTTCTGCTGCCATTCCTGCAGTTGTCCTTTAGTGACTCCTGTTGTTAAGAATAGAGTTTGCAGGTGGAAAAATGCAAACCGAGAGAGCGGAGTGATTGTTGGTGACTGCTGAGGCTCCTATGGAGCGTGCCTAGACCGACCTGCAGAACAAAGTCCTTTTGCGTTTTCTACGGTCCGTCTAGATTTCTCACCTAGCAACTCTAAGGAACTGAAAGTAACCTCCGGGCCAATTATGGTCATTATGGTGAAGATGATGGGACTCTCAAGCTTGTAATGGAACCAGGCACTTTTGTGCCTTCTACTCACATTGCATGCACATGTCTAGTTTCCATGTATTTCTATGGTATGAAATGGCAGAAGCACAGCTGACAGTAGAGCTGAAACGATTCCTCGAGTACCTCGAATAATTCGAGTACAAAAAATCCTTGAGTCAAATTCTCTGCCTCGAGGATTCGTTTAATTCATATTTAATTAATTCATGGCTTTGCAATAGCCCGGGGTCATGTTTCACCCGGACCGAAATAAGTGACGCACATGCCCACTGGACTGAATGCACACGCGAGTGGCGAATGTAACTTAACTTTCTCTTAAGCCATGGCGGACAACGTAGACCCCGGTGGAGTGCGAAAAAGACAGAAAATGTCAAGTTGTGGAACCATTTTTCACGTCTTTAAGCGGAAAACGTAGTCCAGTATAAATACTGTAAAAATGGATTTAGCCTAGCACAACACCACATCCTCCGTGCTGCAGCACCTGTAAATGTCACTTCTGCAAGCGGACTCGGAGCCTCTACAAGATAATGCTTTTAGCCTGTTTTTCTATATATTCTGCGGACACTGTGCGACTTTTTCATTTGTAGCAGTCAGTTTCAGCTCACACCGTACATCTGGTAGCAACACGTCGGGCTTAAAATGTGCTAAAAATAGCAGTTTTTACACAACACGTCGGACTTTTTATTGTGTTGTTGATGTCTGTTGTCCCTCGGGGTTTCTGCAGGAGGACACGGGTATTTATGAGTGGCGGAGGAAAACGAAAGAAAGTAAATAAATGTTTTGTGATCAGTATAATTTGACAAAACCACAGCAAACATGCTTTTGGCAATCCTTGTTAGTGTGAGAAAAAAAGTGTGGAAATTAAAACGGACGTGTGTTAATAGGGAAACAGCCGGCGAGCTGTTTGCGCCGTGAGCGGTTCTGGTTCTGTTTGGGCCGCAGCCGCTCGCAGCGTTATCCTCCTAGTTTTTGTCTGGCTTGCAGGCTAGCAGATTCTCGCACGAGGGGAAAATCGGCTCAGGTTTACTTATTTTTTGCACAGGCATTTGTTTACTGTGAAGTAAAGTTGAAGTGCTGAAGTTATGCAAACTAATTTTGAATAAAACTTGAATAACTGGCAATTGCTTGCTCATTTTAAGAGGTCTTTCATAATTATAACATGCTATTTGATATAAAATCAAATCACTTTTATTGTCACGTCACATGTGCAGGTACACTGGTACAGTACATGCGAGTGAAATTCTTGTGTGCGAGCTTCACAGCAATAGAGTTGTGCAAAAATACAGTAATGTAAAAACAAGTAAAATATAAAAATGGCTAATCTAAGTATACAAATGAATAAAGTAAACAATAAGATAAGAGATATAAAATGTACAGAGGTTGGTATGTGAAAAACAGTGGCATTAATGTACAGTATGGAGCGTGTAATGTTGGAACTTGGTGGAGCTCGCGACGAGGCAGCCATACTCGGCGCCATCTTGGCTCATCAATATATGATATAAAGGTTTACAAACACAAAAGGGTAATTTATTAGAGTACTCGATTAATCGAAAAAAAGATTCGATAGAGTACTCGATTACAAAAATATTCGATAGCTGCAGCCCTAGCTGACAGAATAGTTTAGAAGGTTTGTGATCCACAGAGATGGCAGCAATATAATAAAATCCACTCCTTTTACTTTGCGACACCAGCTCTCCTTCAGATCAGACCTTCAACTTCACGTTTTGCCATCTGCTGTCACTTGCTTGAACCTGAAAAGGCCAAAATGCTGCTAGACCAAATAGTGTAACCTTTAGAAGTGGCTTGTTGATTTTTGTCTTGGTAGACATGTGAAAGAAGACAGGAGGACTCAACTTGTGCATTTTCTTCTAATTGAATTTAATATGAAAGAAACATTAAGTAGGTTAATTAATTGACACAAATTCAAACAGCATATCTTTAGAGACACACATGATTGTTGTCCCAACATCAAGTGAATTTACTATTTTGTTGTGCCAAGGCAAGATATGTTGCTTTATGAATCACTTCCTTCTGTAATCTAAGTAACTAATGTTAACATTAACCTTTAAAAAGTCCCAATAAGACAGTAGTAGGACATCTCAAACCTTTCTTGGTACGTTATAATATCGTATACCAAAGTATGGTAAATGGCCTGTATTTGATATAGCGCCTTCTAGAGTCCTGGAACCCCCCAAGGCGCTTTACAACACAATCAGTCATTCACCCATTCACACACACATTCACACACTGGTGGGGATGAGCTACAATGTAGCCACAGCTGCCCTGGGGCGCACTGACAGAGGCGAGGCTGCCGAGCACTGGCGCCACCGGTCCCTCCGACCACCACCAGCAGGCAACGTGGGTGAAGTGTCTTGCCCAAGGACACAACGACAGCGACAGACTGAGCGGGTCTCGAACCTGCGACCTTCCGATTGCAAGGCGAGCACTTAACTCCTGTGCCACCGTCGCCCCATAGCGACATAGCAAGTATAGCAGTAGAAGTACCCTCCAAGTCTGATAATAAACTTTCTCACTACGTCCTTGAATGGAGGAAAGCTTGTTGCCATCAACACTCAAAGCCTGCCTCTTTTTCCGAGCTATATCTCTATCCCAACAATGGGCTGAATGCGGTAAAAGCTTCCAGATCGTTGCTCCACTCGCTCCCGTCTCTCTCTCTGGCCTTTATCTCACCAACGTGATTGGTATTGAACTAGAAATATGACTTAATTAGCTGGAGAATTGCTCTGTTCAATCTGACTGCTGCTCTCAAATGGTATTCTACTCCAATGGCAGCATTAGCAAAAAGGGCAAATTATAAACACATGACCTCAATTTACCACTGCAGGGAGAAGTGTGGACAACAACAGCTTGCGCAGCGAATGTTGGACGTGGGCCCCGTCCTTTCGGTGGCTGTAAATATTTAGTTTAGTGGTGCCACTGTTTGAAGAGCAGGTTGTGTTTGGCTGCAGAAGAGTGTGTTGCAAACAGTTGGTTTGTAAGGTGACCTCTGGAAATTACACATTTGTTGTAGAAGCATTTGTTCTTCTGAACTAAACCGAGTTCTTTTTTTATTGCTTGCATATTCAAAGTGTTCAACTAGCTAGCTGATAGCACGTTGAAAAGTAATACTGCTGCTTTTGTTTGTCAAATCTCTCTTCTCCTCTTACTCATCAGCAGCCTCTCAAACCACGTTTACATCTTGTCTTCCTGATTGCTAAATAAGCCGAGACAAATGGCACTGCCCTTCAGACCTAGAGACCGACTGCTTGTCTTGTCTGTATTCAGCAGACGGCGTCGAGGTCTTTGCCTAGAAATGTCGCCTCAGGGAGGAAGGGAGAGGTCTGACTTCCAACACTCAAACTCTGGCTGCTCTTGTCTTTTCTCTGCTCTCTGCCACTTCCACACATTATTTGGGGACGTAAAGATTAACTGGGTCCGAAGTTTCACACTCTTTGACCTTGATATGCGAGCTCCTTTTGTTTAATATGACAAGTTGACAGTATTATCAGCCTGGAAAGTAAATCATGGCTTTTTTCTGGCGTGGACAGTTTATGTTCAGTTCACATCTTCAATGCTTTTTCCTTTGATTGAGCTGTGGGTGATAATCTGTATGCCTGTGTCGGTACTCGATTTTTCTTACATCTGTGGAACTTTTTGTGGTTTATTCACTTAACCTAGTCACGACCAGGAGTCCTTATGGGGACCAGAGTCTGGCTCTAGTAGGGATGTGTGTTGGTGAAATTCTGGCG